ACACATGACATGCAGAAGGGAAGCCAAGGGGCAATGAGAGAGACCAGGGTGGGGTGTTTTCTCATATGTCCGAGAACAGTGGTGACATTTCAAGTACTGCAAGGAAAACCATACATTTTTATACATGGGGCATATGATCTTTGAACCCATACTGTGAGTACCACTGACCCACATCACCTCTGTGGATGCTGAGGGTTACATTCAAGTAGGGCTGGGCAGAGCTGAGCCAAGCCAGGCCTGGGCAAACCAGAGGCCCAGGCAGGGTTGCCCTGAACATGCCCCACTCTGCATCCTGGGAGACAGGGCTCGGCACAGCCCAGAGGCCACGAGACAGAAAAGCCTTGACATCAGGACCCACTGGTGAAGCTCTGTGGGGAGGGTTTTTGCATATGTGTTATTTTTCCTGTTGCACCAAAAGTTCACCCTCACCTGCCCACCACATTCAGGTAAGAAAGAAGGCTGGGCACTGCCCATACTGTGCCACACAAGGCAGGATGGTGAGGAACAGCCAATCAGAAACACACCCACACTGTAGCAGTGTGCCCCAGCCAATGGCTGCACCAAGCCCCCGGCCACCTGCCAGGCACCTCCTGCCCCTGACAGTGACACCAGGTTTTCTTTAGCCATTTTCTACATCCCAGGAAACTTTTCTAGGATTTTTTTTTTTTTTTTCCAGTTTAGGGCTGATGTCCTGGACCACAGTGAGTTGATCTGCGGCTGCCTGGGACCAGGCTGAGAATCGGTGCTGGGAGCACCAGCACTGGGTTGAAGAGATTTAAATCTCTGTAACCCTTTCTTCTGGTGTCCTGCTATCCTTGCACACCATAGGTAGTGTCATTGGGCACCTTCAGCTTAGCTCCTGACATCAGACCCCTTATCACGCAACTGCATAAGTACCTGTACACACAGACTCTCTTCCATATACTTGACCCCTGACACACCAACTTCAATGTCAAGATTGTGCAATGTGATCCAGAAAAACCATTTAAAGGCCAGACTGTGTTACAGCAAACCGTCTCTCTCTAGACTGGCTTATGCCTTTAGGTGGCCCATTCAGCCAAGATCCCTCTGCTCAAGAGACTACTGGTAAATCAATGCACGGGTTGGGGTTGTGGCTCAGCGGTAAAGCACTCACCTAGCATATGTGGGGCACTGAATTCAATCCTCAGCACCACATAAAAATAAATTAAAGGTATTGTGTCCAACTACAAGTAAAACAAAATATTTTTTAAAAATCAATGTAGCATGACCCGTGTCTTAAAGAGACAGTAACAGCTGAAAAAAAATAAAAAATTACTCAGATGAGAGAGGATCGTCCAAACCAGGGCTGACAGATAGGAAACTTTAAAACAGACCTGCAGATACAAATTTCTTCTATTTACTTTACTTTTTTTTTTTTTTTTTTTTTTTTTTGGTACTGGGGATTGAACTCAGGGGCACCCAACCACTGAGCCACATCCCCAGCCCTATTTTGTATTTTATTTAGAGACAGGATCTCACAACTCACAATCCTCCTGTCTCAGCCTTTCAAGCCACTGTGATTACAGGCATGCACCACCGCTACCCCGCTACTTGCTTTACTTTTGATAGACCAACTCCAACTACAACATTGTAAAATAATCCAGAAAGCTATTCAAAAGCCAGATCCTTACAGTAAAATATTGTCTTAGACAGGCTTGTACCTTTAGCTGGCCCTTTCTTCAACTCACCTTACCTCTGAGCAACTCCAATTTCAAGATTGTACAAAAGAGAAACACTGAGAGATACAACCAGAGAGGAACCCCCAAAACCATGGCCGGACAGATGGGAACTTTTAAATTGAGCAGCCAAGATCTTTTCCAAGTCTACCTATAGGATCAATGCAGTATTAGCCATGTTTTAAAAGGGGTAGTAACAGATACAAATAAAACAAAAACATAGACCATCATAGAATTCCCAAACTCAAGGCCAACAAACACATGAGAACCTAGAACAGACCAGAAAGAAGTACTACCTACTGGTGTGGGTTCTCCTACTCTAGTGGACGTGTAGATGTGTGAACATACACAAATGTTCCCAGAAAGAGGGACCAGATGTGTGGAATCAGGGGTCTTGGCGTGTACACCAGGACACATCAAATGGCCAAGGGTGTGACTTTCTTGAGTTTAGTTTCCTTTTTCTCAAAGTGGACCATGAGGGAGAAAACTGTACTGTTTAGGGAGAGAAGGCAGGCATTCCCCAAGGCAAAAGGAGCTTTGGCAGCTGCTGGGATGGTCCCCCAGTCCCTCCTTTGCTCACAGGAACAGCTCCTCTGGTTCCACCTGAGGCAAACTCACCCATCTCCTAACTCTTGCAGTTGACTCTCAACAAGTTCACCAGCACGCTCAGCATGGAAGTGGGGTTCCTTGGAGAGACAGGCCTGCCCAAGAAAGCTGGAGTGGAGGCTGCTCTCGGTTCTCACCTGGGATACCAAATTTGTTTCTGGAAGCTTGGTCCTTGTTCCCAGAGCCAATCCAATAATGAGGCCATGGTTTTGAGAAAAAGGAAAGAGAAGGTTTATTGCTTTGCTAGCAAAGGAGAAACACAGGGGACTCCTGTCCCAGAGGCTGTGATTCTGCCTATCAGCAGGAACAGGGGTTTTTTAAGAGGTGACTCAAAGGCTACATTCCACAAGCATTCTCTGTTGGAGTTGTCATTCACTTGTTAATTTGGGAGATAGTCATTTCTGATATCTTGTGGTATCACCCCCAAAGTCTGGATTACCTAATTCCTATGGTGAATGTGTACTCAGGGACAAATAACTCTGCCTGGGTTGGGGAAGAAAGGTAATCCAGTTTCCCCTGAGATTAGGGAAGGGGAGAGATTAGGGAGAAGCAGGGAGAGAGGAGGAGAAAGAAGCATGTCTATTTTAAAACAAGTCACAGTGGCAGAGCAGCAAGGACTATATTCACAGCACCGAGTGGAGCACTGTTACAATCTGAGAGCCTTAGGAGTTAAGGGGACCTTCTGCTTCCAGTCACAGTAAACCAGGCAATGCAGACCAATGTCCTCACTGATGACAACTAGAAAAGCTGGAACATGCACAAGTGTGCACGTGCACACACACATACACACATAACCTGTGAAGGTATCAGAAGGCTACCAAGATAGTTGAGGTGAGGGGGGGCAGCCTCCAAGGAGGCTCCCAAAGAGCTCTGCCTCCAGGGATTCACACCTTTGTGTGGCCCTTAGCCTTTGTTACCAACATGCACATAGTATATGCCATTTTTAAAATTAGACAATAAAAGGCACAAAGCTTCCTTTTCGGTGGCACTTTCCAGTAACAATGAACAATCATTTGGGAGTTGTCCTTGGCAACGTTATTTTGACTTCCTCTTCATTTGTTTCCATTTCTAATCCTTTTGATGTCCTCTCCTAATTCTAAAGAGAAGACACACCTACATGGTTAAGAGGTTAATTGCTAAATCTCTTTCATTAGATTTATAGAACCAGAGCATCCTGGAAACCTTCAGATAACATGAGAAAGTGTCACTGCACTTCATGGTTTGGTTTGATTTTGTTTTTGTTTTTTGGTACCAAGGATTGAACTCACGGTGTTTAACCATTGAGCCACATCCCCCAACTTTTTAAAAAATATATATATTTTATTTAGAGATAGCTTTCAGTGCATTGCTTAGGGCCTCACTAAAATGCTGAGACTGGCTTAGAACTCCCAGTCCTCCTGCCTCAGCCTCCAGAGCCACTGGAAGTACAGGTCTTATCCATGGGCCCAGTATTGTAATTTATTTTTAATTGTTAATTGTCTAACAACGAAAGGAGTCTATCTCTGTTGCACATGCTTGTAATCCCAGCGAGTCAGGAGGCTGAGGCAGGAGGATCACAAGTTTGAGGCTAGCCTTAGCAACTTAGGGAGACCCTGTCCCAAAGCTTTAAAATAAATAAATAAGCTGGGGATGTAGTGGTAAAGAGGCCCTTTTGTGCCATCCCCCTGCAGATTTTTGTGCCTGATTCCAACTGTTCATAAACTGATTCGTTGGCATCAGTTTGAGTTTGGAGCCTGGGGCATTGAGTGCCAGCTTCCTCCTCAGTCACCAATTTAGGAATGGGACGTGGTAAATGTTGGGGGAATGTTAGAATGAAAGTTAGCCAGGAACATGAGTAAATGCAACCGCTGCCTTCCTTCCCTCATTCCCCACATCCTGTGTTCAACGTGTGCTTCTTTCTAATGTTTGTAAAATGTCACCTCACGAACGCGTTTTTTTGCATTTTCACAAGATGACTTCCTTGTCCGTGTTTAATGATTGTTCTAAAGTTTTGAGAAATATAAAGAAAGTATGCTTTGGGGAAAAACAAAAACCCGCAAACGACTTCTTCACAGTCTATAAAACTAATTTACACTTCCAAGACTAGTTTTCTGCGTTAATTATTATGCTAATTCTTAAAGACGGGTTAGCGCTCCAGCTACAGAGCAGACTCTCAATCTGTCTTGTGGATGTGCGCCTGGATCTGAAAACCGATTTTTCAAAATCCCAGGTTCTGAGCAAAATGCTTTCAAAAGCTGCAGAAGGGACAAAACCAGCTCCTGGACTGCCCAGAGCCCGCGCGCCCAGGGACTGTATCCCTCTGATCGCCACTTGGTCCTCGGCACCGGAAAGAAGCCCCAGCCCAGGTCAACGCTTGTGGGTTCCAGGCTGCGAGCCGGGTAGCCAGTGCCTCCAAGGCCGAATGCCATGCTCTAATTCCTCCACAATGCGTTCCTGGCCATGAGAGGTTACCTCCATATCGAATTTTCTCACGGAAAAATCAGTTCCCTATTCGTTCCTGCGGGAGCCGCGTTGGGGACCCAACCTGGACTGCAACCGCTTCCAAACGCGCGGTCCCCTGTTACTGAGGCTGCCACCTACCCCCGAGACGCGTTGGACTTAACACCAATTCCCCGCTGACTGCCCGGCGCCTGCTGCGCCCAAGTCTGCTCCTTCCGACGCAGTGCACCCACTTTTCTCTGCTTCGGGGACACTCACTTGCTTAAAGTCATCCCGAATCACGCCGCTCTCCGATGGCCGAGATCGTGGGGCTAGGCAGCTACTCCACCGACCGCCCAGGGCTGGTACAGACTCAAGCAGGTTCTCCGGAGGCCCGGCAGGTGTCGGAAGCCGCCGGAGCTTGGGGCGGTGCACGCCCAGGTCCTGGATCTTCCTGTGCGCCCAGGTTGTTCCCTGGCTCGTGGAAACATCTTTGTGCTTGTTTGGATTGGTTCTGCTGGACTTCCCGGTGCAAAGAGCCGTCACTGGCCCACGCCCGACAGAACTCCATAAGGTAATGACGATGATCGCTGACCTTGTTTCTGCTATTTACTAGACAGTAGTGGACAGGGCCCTAAAAACTTTGTCCACTTGTCAGTTATTCATTACAACAGCCCTAACCGGTGAGGACAGATGTTAGCCCCATTTTTCATTTGAGGGAATTAAGGCTACGTGGGATAACCGGATAGTAAGTGGGATTAAACCGAATCTGGGTGACCCTGAAGCCCGCAAGCCGAGCCCTTTCTGTCCCTCGGACCCAGGGCTAAGAAAACAAGACGCCTTCACTCTGCTTAGTGGTCTGAGTGGAAAGTTCGGGGACTCTCTGCTGGGGACCGCGTGTTTTCCAAGTATTTCCCAAACCTCAGGATCGAGAGGAACAGGGTGAGACTGGGTAGGCAGCACGGTCCGGTCCCCACTTCCCACAAGTCACCTTCCTTCTTTTGTTGCTTCTAGGCGTTTGCCCCAGGCTTCGGGAGCCAGTCGCACCCAGCGGTTAACGCCCGCGCCTATGCAGCTTCCTCACTTCTCGGGGGACTACTCTGCCTGACCCCACTTCTCGGTGACTACTCTGCCTGACCCCGTATCTACCAGAGGCTTCGTTATCTACGGGTCAATGGGTTTCCCTTTCCACTTTACAAAGAAACAATTCCGGCACACACTCCTAGTTTCCCTGCCCTGCGGCGCCTACCTGTCCTTACTGGCTAGGCTGGGTCCGTGGCCCACCCATCTCTCAGCCTCGCCCACAGCCCAAATTCGTCCTTTGCCCTACCTCCACCCTCTTCGCCCTACACTCCACGGAAGCTATCTGGGCAAAAGACACTCCGAGTGGAAAACTGAAGTGCGTTGGAATCCTTCTAAAAGGGACCTGTGCAGCCACATAATGCCTATATGCCTGCAAGAGTGAGTGATGAATCTTAGATGAAATTAGCATTTTCTCATTTACAATAAGCGGGGGTGCAGGGGTGAAGAATAGAGGTATTTTGGACTAGACAGATGTGAGTGAAGGGAGGGGAGGGGACATGGGGTAGGAATGATAGTAGAACGAATCAGACATTATTACCCTAGGTGTAGATATGATTACATGCCCGTGTAACTCTACATCGTGTACAACAAGATGAATGAGAAGTTATACTCCACTTATGTATGATGTATTAAAATGCATTATACTGTCATGTATAACTAATTAAAACAAATAAAATGTATTAAAAATAAATGAGCATTTTCAGGACCCTTTTCATAAGCCAGCTCAGTGTTGGGGGTTCCAAAAGCCATCTCTACTGTGACTGTTCTGTATTTTACTCTGACTCAGCTAAGTGGAAAACAGGATTGTTTTTCAAGTAGATACAATGATGGTATGCAACATTGCCATGCTCCCATGTGTATATTTAATTATACCTTGCCAGTGTCCCAAAAAGGATGTAAGATGAAACATAAAATACAAGGTAGTGTAACTAAAAGATAAAAATGGCAATCAATAAGTTAACCAAGTCTGGAATGAGTGCAATAGAAAAGTTCCCAGAATGATCTAAACCTTGGTGCCAGTGAGTTCCAGAATCCCTTGGGAATTTCTCTTTAGCCAGCAGACAAGATATCCAGCTAGAAGGGAGTTGGAAGTCCTAGTTGCAGATAAGTAATTTCGCGGCTCTGGACTGAAAGAGGAATGTTATTCTCTCTTTGACAAGAGCAATCAGCAAAATGTTGTACTGACCATGTGCATTAAATAAAGAATGTTCGTGCAAGACCTCCTTGCTTACAAAGGCTTTCCCTAACATTATTTGTTATTCAACACACCTAATAATGCTGCCAGGGAAGACCCAACCTGTGAGAGATTGTAAGATTCATTTGGATTTTTGTGGCCAGTGAAGGGACCAGTGTTGGCCAGTAAAGGGCAACCAGTGTTGGCTCAGCACTGTCAAAACAGAAAAGCTCTTTGCCCTATCACCTCTTCTTGTGACTTGGAAGTGGGGAAGGGGTTAATTCAACTCTAAACTTCTACCTCAAAGTCTCTTCCTGCTCCAGGGAAGAAGAGAAAGTGAAGGTCAAGTGAGGTTGTTCTTTTTCTGCCTGAACAGGGACTCTGCATCTGTTCTCCATGACAGAGCCAGTTGCCCTCCCAGAGCCAGGCAGTATCTACTGCTGCTGCTCTGAGGACTAGAGTGGCTTCAAGACCACTTGGAGCCCCAAACCTGCCATGTCTGTGCACATCCCGTTAGTCACTCTCTGGGATCAGCCCACAGGTAGCCTCTCTCAGTGGCTTCCTTATCGCTATAGCTGGTAGTAATGTATCACCATAACAAGACTTCCACTTCTGCAAGGCTGTGGGCATTTCTGGCTCTCACCTTGGCAAACTGACAAATTCTTAAGTAATTGGAAAATTGCCTGGGTAATTTCAGCTACTCCCAGGGCCCAGAACACCTGCCTCTAACATTGATCTTGCTAGGTTAAAGGGCAAACTCTGTTCTTTTCTTTTTTTCTTTTTTCTTTCTTTCTTTTTTTTTTTTTTCAGTTTTTTATTTTTTAAGAAATGTTGCCCCACTAAGTTGCCCAGACTGGTCTCAAACTCCTGGGATCCTCCTGCCTCAGCTGCCTGAGTAGCTGAAGCTACAGGCATGAGCCACCATGCCTAGTAAGGTCAAACACCTTGTCTTTCACAGCTGGGCTCCTGTCTTCTTGTTCCTGTGGGAGAAACTTCGAGTGGCCTGCATGGTACTCAGATCCATCTAGCAGATCCTGGTGTTGTGACTGAGTTTTCTGACAGGTGTTCTTGGAAGATCAAATAAACTAGCTTTGCATTCCAGTCCAGTTAAGATAGCACTTTCTACCAAGAAAAGTGTTTGGGCGGAAAAAGGGAAGTCAAATGATTTTTGCCATACCACCAAAGAGTTTTGTTTGTTTTATTTTTGTTTTTTTGTGGTGCTGGGGATTGAGCCCAGTGCCTTGTGCATGGGAGGCGAGCACTCTACTGAGCTATATCCTCAGTCCAGAGTGGGGCGTTTCTTTTTTCTTTTTTCAGAGAGAGAGAATTTTTAATATTTATTTTTTAGTTCTCAGCGGACACAACATCTTTGTTTGTATGTGGTGCTGAGGATCGAACCCGGGCCGCACGCATGCCAGGCGAGCGCGCTACCGCTTGAGCCACATCTCCAGGCCCGAGAGTGGGACGTTTCTGAGTCAATGTTCAACTCCAAGAGACTTGCACAGATCTGACTCAGAGTGGGCACCATTTATTGATTGACTGAATGAATAACTGCCAGGAGTGATGGGGTTGTTTTCTTAACACATAGTCTTTAACCCTTCTTCTTCCCCAAATCCAGTCCTTGCTGATGCTCAATAATGTATGTTGAAAGAAAAAACAGGGTGATGTTTTTCATCAAGGGTATGTTCTTCAGAGGACTGAAGGACAAAATGCCCTGACTTGTGATAATCCTTAAGAAAAGGAAGCAATGTCACTTGCTCAAGGATAATGATTAAGCTATGGATGTGCGGTACAAATAGCATTTGATTTTTTTTAGAAGATTAACTTTTTTAATTTTTATTTTTAGTTGTAGTTGGAAAGTATTCAGGTACTCCCAGTTACCTGAAAGCAAATCATTTTCTTTTGCGTCACAGCCTGGTCACAATACTCTCCAGAAAAAAAAAATTAAATACGTTTATTTTATTTATTTATTTTTATGTGATGTTGAGGATTAAACCCAGCACCTCGTACGGGCTAGGTAAACGCTCTACTGCTGAGCCACAACCCCAGCCCCAACATCTGATTTTATGATGTATATATATTTTTTTAGTTTTGTTCACAGTTCCTCGCTCATAACTTCCTCCCAAGGCAGGTGATTGAGATTCAAATTTATTTTTCCTATAGAGACTTCTAGAAACATTATCTTTCCTCCCTTTTTCTGGTCTACTTTGTCTGATAGTAGATAAGACCCCCATTTCCAAAGGGATTCTGTCCCATTCCCAGGAATAAGAAATGCTATGCAGAGAGATCAAGAAGAATCTGAACAGACAGGCTTGCTGGTTTTTCCCACCCAATCTATTAGAGTTGAATATGTAGTAAATTCTCCCTAAAAACTCAAAAGGAGAGAAACCCAGGTAGCTAACCATGTGGAAATTCCTAGAGGGTATTGCACCCCGAGAAGGCATGAAATCTCCATGCCCTTCTCCCACACTCTGCCCTATACATCTCTTCATCTGTATCCTTTGTAATATCCTTTATAATAAACCTACAAGTGTTAAAAGCTCCCCTGAGTTGTGTGAGCCACTGGAGCAAATTAGTCAAACCCAATGAAGGTATTCTGGGAAGTACAGGTAAAAAAATCTGTGGCTTGTGAAGGGTATCTAAGGGGACCTGGGGGTCTAGGTAGCTTAGTGGTAGTGTTAGGCAAAGGGGTAGCCTAAGAAGTCAGGATGAGGCTTTGTGACATTTTGACATGGGTTGGAACATACCCAGGTATTTGGCTCACAGACTAAGAAAATATATACCTCTGAATTCATATACAGTTGCTGAACTTACAAATCAGATGTACATCCAACCAGATCTGAGCTAAGAATTGTAAGATTATTATAAACACCAACCTTGTCAGATTTCCTCTAGGTAGTTGGAGATAAACCCTAATCAGAGACCCTGGAGTCTGGTGGGGGTCGGGGGGGGGGGTCGGAAATGCAATTGAATCTGAAGGAGAGCCTGCTGGGGTATATCCTCCAACACTGGAAGATATTCAGGTACTCCCAGTTACCCGAAAGCAAATCATTTTCTTTTGTATCACAGCCTGGTCACAGTACTCTCCAGAAAAAAAAATTTTTTTTAATGATCAGAAAATTAATCTCTTAACTATAATATATTTCAGCTTGATTTACTCCATGAAAGGGCAGGAAAGTGAATCAAGATCCCTTCTATATAGAGCTTCATGGCTATATATCAGAATCAAGGTTGAAAAAAAAATGG